GGAGGGGTGCTATACAGCACTGCCAAGAAAATTTTTATGAGAACTGGGACAATAGAAAAAGAGTATTAATGAAGATGTAAATAATCTAAAATGAAAGTGGGCTCTGACATGATATTTTCATCTGAAGCTAAAGGCTGATTAAAATTTCATGAGCTTAATCTTGAATCTGTGCAGTAAATTATCAAGGAAGTGTAATTAGAGTCATTTCCTTCCTAGGTCTGTGGGGAAATTCCCATCACCATTGATGAGAATTGTGCATAGAGATCATGGGAAGAGCATGGCCCTTGGGTTTCCTCCTAAACAGCCTGTAGGATTTGTTATGGTTATTTTAATGCACTGGTCCTTGGAGACACTAATTTCAGTTCTGCCTCTACCTTCAACATGCTGAAAATGACAAACATTGGGGGTGGGAACCCCAAGAGATGTAGATATCTTTTCATTCTTTCTTCTTTATCTACAATTATCAAAGAGGAAACTCTTTGTTCCATAAGTGCCAAATCTTTAAACAACCACTACAACAAAAGTAATTCTAACCCATGGAGGGGAAAAAAATGCTGTCCTACATTCACTAAGTGGCTAACAAATTCTCTGGAAGTTAGATTCTTTGGGAACTAAAGTCATTTCTTTAAGTCACTGCTGATTCTGAGACACTGACGCATCAGTACACTTGGCCAGCGGTATTTAGAAATGTCTGTGATCAGGGGGACAGGATTTTTACTCAGAGAAGTCTTGAGCCAAGTGGCAAGTAATGGGAAATTGTAGAATAGAACTGTGGTATTGGGATAAGGTAAAGCAGGAAAAAATGATAGTTCCAAGGATGAGCAATGTTCTTTTCTCTTACCCAGCAATCAGCAAAGCTATGTGTGAAGCTGACTCATTGTCTTCCCCTGCCTTCTCAGTAACTACGGGTAGGTCTTGATTGTGATTTTGAGATGAAATGTCTTTTCTGCAATTTTGGCAAGTAAGTCACTTTTTCTCTCCTGATACCTTCCATGTAAGATTACTTTGGGAGCAGAATCAACACCTACCATGATTATAAATTTCTGCTCTTCTTCAAAAAAAAGAAACACACTTAGTTATTTTTGCCAGATGATAAACGTCTGACATTCAATATGTACTACTAGATGAATAAATAAATGATAGACATGGAAGTCAAAGCTACCCTATGTATGTAAAAATGTTTCCCTTAACACATTGTAGTAGTTTTTGTACATTACACTATTTGAAGACCGGCAAGTGGCAGATACCAAATAATCAGGAAAAACATCCAGGGGTGGGCAAATATAAGATCTCAGCTGCAGAATTTTTAAGAGTTCAGATTCATGTTGCAAAGATCTTTTGTTTCTGTCCTAGAGAACAAATATAATGCATTCAATTCATCATTTTCGAAGAATCCAATTAAGTTCAAGGCAGTCCTTCATTTCAAGCTTTTGTCCTGGGTGGATGAATCGAACTCTTTTAAGCTCTTTATACACATATATTCAATTAATCATTACACTAATTTATGAGGAGGTATTGTAATCATTTTGATTTTATGTATGAGGAAAATGAGGCAAAAAAGAAATTGATTTTGTCAAGACCTTGTAGATACTGCTAAGTGTTTGAATTTAAACCAAGAGACTCTGGCTTCAGTTTATTATCTTAACCATTATTCTACAGCTGACCTTTGAACAACGTGGAGGTTAAGGGCACCAACCCCTACCCCCACTCAACACATAGTAAAAAATCCACATATAACTTTTGAATTCCCTCAGAATTGAACTACTAATAGCCCACATTAACCAGGAGTCTTATCAAAACATAAAGTCTATTAACACATACTTTGTATGTTACATGTTATTATTGTATATTATAATAAGCTAGGGAAAATATTTTTTTGAACTATTGCAAATCAAAAAATTGTCAATGTATTTATTAAAGAAAATCCATGTATAAGTGGACTCTTGTAGTTCCCACCTGTGTTGTTCAGCGGTCAACTGTTAATCTTACGAGATGGCACTTGAGCAAAGACCTAAATAATGACAAGAGAGATCCATTAGCTTTCTGGGGACAATACTCCAGGTAGAAGCAAAACCATGATACAAATGTTTACAGTTATGCAATGGCTTGTGAGCCTTGGGAAGGATTTTGGTTCTCATTTTTAGAAAAATGGAAAGCCGTAGGCAGGTGTTAAGCAGAGATGTGATGTAATATGATTTAAAAGAATACTATGGCTGCTGAATGAAGACCACAGTACAAGTAGAAAATCAAAGTATTTAACATAAAATAATATTTAAATCCAATACATAAGTCAAAACTATACACACACATATAGGGAGAGCCTTATTTTCTAAAACTAACCTGAATAGTTCTTGAAACTTTTAGCCAGTTAAATATATTTTTGCAAAAATAGGTTCTCAAGTCATTGCAACTAAAGGATTTGCAGATGTTTAGATTTTGGTGTGATATTTTGTTTCATGTGGCTGTCACTAGCTAAATGATTTCCATTCATCTGGTTAGAATCATGAGTCTTTTGTTTGAGAGAGGTGTAGCTCCAGGGGGAAGAATCTCTTATGAAACCAGTGAAACCGAAATAAATGAAGGGAAAGGGTAGGTTGGTATAAACTGCTTTTATTGCTCACACCTTGCTTGAATTCTCTAGCTAGGCCCAGCCCCATCTGTCTCATCCCCACGCCTGCTCTGCCCCCTCAACGCACTCTCTACTTCCCACCTGCCTCTTCTGGGAGAAACTCCATTGGTGGGTCCTTGATGACTGGCAGATGCCAGACCAATTATGTACCAGGAACGGAGGGGAAGTGAGAATGGCCGTTCTCTCTCCGGAGGCTGCTGAATGCTGCAGTGGGTAAACGCCTATTGATATGCAAATGAACTAAGGCCCGGCAGGAGGTTCTGGAAATTCTGCAGTTTACCGCACAATAGGAGTTGAATATATTCATGATTACGGGCTTATTTCAATGCTCATAAATGAAGTAAAATACAAACCCGAAAATCTGTGGAACAGTCTGTACACGAGCTCAGCTTTCCAACTTTCAGCTGTGTGAAACAAGAATAAACTCATGCTTTATCAACCTAGTTTTTCTCTTTTACTCTCACCCTTTCCTTGAAGAAGCAAGATGAAATTAAAATTGATAGAAAATTGAGATAACATTCTCTGCAAGGTAAAGCTATTGCTGCCAGGCCTGAGTTCTGGTATTTCTGGGAAGGAACTGTAGTTTTAAGTTGGGAGGTAGGAGATTCAAACAAAAGGTTATAAGATTTCCATGATATGTCAGGCTAATAAAAAAAAAGCCAAGAGAACATTATAAAACTTGGAATGGAGTATCAACAAAAAGAAATAAAAAATGTTGTTCCCTTGAAACAGCAGATCGGGAGAGGGAACCTCAGGGAGCATGATCTCAGAGGTGACTTTTATCACTGTATAATCTCTATCACATGCCTCCAAGAATGTCTTTTTCTTGAGCTTTAACTGGGGATAATTTTGTGAAAGAGAAACCACAAAGCTACAGCAACTATAAGGAAAATATTTCAATAAAATATCCTGGAAATACAGTATTTCCCAGTGAGGGCTCTTTACAAGAAGTGAGAAGCCAAAAGAGGTGGCTGTCACTTTCGGGAATCCAGTCCTGAGACAGGAACGCTTTTAGCTTTCCTCCAAAGATCTTTGCCCAGTTCTGCTGACAGGCTGCCATGAGGATGACGGGAAATCTCTGGAGGTCATTGTGAAGAACCACGTGAGTCCTCTTAGAGGTAAGGGAGCTAAGCCATTTTTGCCCCAGTTCAGTATGACAGAAAAAAGGAGAAGGTGACACACAGGTTGATACACACAAAGTGTTAACGGCACAATTTTGGGATTCTCCCACCTCACTCCGTTTGTATTTCCAGAGTGAACAATAGAAACAGAGATCTGTGGTTTCACTCACTAAGCATTTCAAACAGAGTCATTCCTTGGCCAACTTTTGTATTTGAGGCCTTTTACTGTTAATGTAACTTTTGGGTTTCAAATTGAGCTAAATGACAGCATCCAATTTTGTCGGTCCCTCCCTGCCTCTGACCCGCGGATAAGGGAGGAGATGCAATGAGATATCGAAGGTCTGAAAGGACAAGCCTGGGGACTCAAGGCTTGACAGCACAAGAGTGGTGCTGAGAGGGCACCTCTCATATTTATTGATCAAATGGTTGTTAACAACAATAAAATTCTGTATAGGGGACTCAAGACACAATCATTAATCAACCCCAAGCCTAACTCTCAACAGTCTCCAATATTCTGAAGCATAATGAACAAGTTCTTACATGGTGGACAAGTTCTTACATGGTGAACAAGTTCTTACATGGTGAACAATGCAAGGGCAGTCATATCACAGTAACTGTTTCTGTTTTGATCACGCATCATGAACTATTGATTGATGGACTATAAACAAGTCAGATATGATTATTCATTTGATTTTTATACTTGTTTTATATGTGAATTCCACACAATTTCCTATACATAACTTATGCTTATCGTCACAAGTATGGCATGTAAGAAACAAGTGTAAGCCGTGACTCCTTCACCTTGTGTGTTACTTTATTGACACAGAAAGTGCTATTGTTTGAATATGAATATCATTTAGTGCATTAAGATACAGAAGGACAAATTATTGTGTTGCCGCTTGGTACAGTCTGACAATGTCATGCATAAACTGTCCACCCTTGATAAATACCTTCTCGGGGTTGTCTGACTGTCATGATTCGGATGTGTTCTGACTTCCCTCTGGAGTCATAAATTGCACCTTTGGCACAATGAGGGATGAGTTGGTCTTTCGGATGGAGTTGTTCCTCCTCATGGAATTGTTTCTTCTCATGGAATTGCGCTTCCTCAGAGAATTTTGATGGGACAGTTCACTCTTCTGAAGGGTCTGAATGAGGATGGAAGGCTTCTCATCCAGTTCCCGGGCACTGCACCTGGGAGCAGCTACTTTCACAGTGTTACCGAACTTGGAGTAATCCACAGAATACACTCCTTCCTCCTCGGTTACAATAGACACAAAGCGATGGCCCCACTGGATCTCCTCAGCGATGTAGGAGGTTCTCGCCTGTGTGGTACTGCCAGTAGTTTCGACCACTCCTTCCAGAATCACTATGACCTCCAGGTCTTGGTTGGCCAGGTCAGTCGCTGAGATATCATACAAGGGGCTGCGCTTGTCAATCACATGGCAGATGATCAAAGGCGCCACCAGAAAAATGTTATTACTCTCAATCGGATTGTCAACAGGAATGTCCAGTTGGTGAATAGGCACCACCTCCCCTTCAGGGGTCGTTGTTTTCTTGACCACTTGGATGCGCACTGACGCACTGATGATCATGCTCTTCCTGAGGTCGCCCACTCGGAACATGAAGCACAGCTTGCCGTTGCGGACGGCGATCACGGCATGGCGGCTGAAAATCAGCGTTTCCGCCCTTCGGTGAGCCTGCGCTGTTTTCATGAAGATGCAGCCCAACATGACCGCATTGATAATCAAACCCACAATGTTCTGGAGAATCAAAACTGTGATGGCCAGAGGGCATTCCTCTGTCATCATTCTCCCTCCAAATCCAATTGTCACTTGAACTTCAATGGAGAACAGAAAAGCAGAGGTGAAAGATCTGTAAAGCGTGATGGTCAGAGAAAACAACGCCATCAGATCGAATTTTGAATTAAGACATAACATGCCAAGCTGATTTTTCATTTTCTTCCACCGAAGGCTATTAAATGATTTTGGAAAGACTAGCCAGCTTGTCAAAAGCCTGATTCTAAACACAATCGCTTGTCTCTCTCTCCCTCTTTCTTTCAACTTTCTTTCATCCCAGATTGACTTGTGGGATGTAATTCTATTAATTTTCCTAGGTCATGTGTGCCTACATCTGTGAAAGCATTAAAAGGATGAGTACATATATATATAGGCCTATTTCACTTTGTGAAATACTTTTTCACAAAGGCATAGTTCACTTGGTGAAATTTTCTACTGGGTAGATGTTTATTATGTATTGCGTGCCCGTGTTTAAGCGACTTGACTCATAAGGAAGGTACCAAGTAATGAGTGAAATAGTTATTATTTACAACCTTTAAAATCATGTTCATTGGCAAGCACTTGCTGTGTGTACCTTTTATGTAGAGAAAGCACAGCACCAAAAAGCTGTTCAAAACCAATACCAGTATTTTAATAAAAAATAATGTTTGTCATTTGGAAAGGAAAATGTTTTCTTATTGTCTCATTTTGTTTTCTGTGATCTAGAGAATACTGAAGCTGTTAAAGGAAGAATTTGAAGCAGATTAGGAATTGACTGTGTCAAAATGACATAATTGATAAGAACTTGAACCCTCTGTTCTGGCCTAGCACTCTGAGAGGCAAAGAGAAGCGATCAGTAAGTGTCAGGATTTTCTCAAGAAGCATTTTTAAACTGGGCGTCCATTTTATCTCACAATCTCAATCTCTCTGAGACTTGGTAGGTTTGGGGTGGACCTGGGGAAGGCTTCGGAAAAGCGCTCAGGTGATTCTGTTTTATTCCCCTGGCTAAGCAACACATCTGATTTTTCTTATCATTAACGTCTTCACTTAACCACGTATCTTAGATGGCCATGCTTCTTAATAGAAACAGGGTTAGTCCTAATGTCTGTTCGAATCTCAATTTCAAATGTCTAATTTTACAGAAGATAAACCATGCATAGGCCATCTGTCAAAGTATTATCTATTGATGCCACACACAAGTGAGCAAAATGTTTAAACATTTGAATACTGAGTGTGCACACACTGTACTTTGGTGGGACACTGTGAAGGACAAGCAAAGAGAGTAGATGATTCTTTTGATTAACTTTGAAGCAGTATGTGAAAATTGCCTTTTACAGCCCTTTTGTTGCTAAAAAGACTCCTGGAAAATCACAATAATTGCTTTTGGCACTAGTTACACACAAGATATGTCATATGACCCAAGAGCATGGCAAAGAATAAGAACAGACCCCAGAAGAGGGGTGTGGACGCACATTGATTTATAATAATGTACACATACTTCAGGGAGTAGTCTAATGATAAAAACCTCCAAATGTTTCATTTTAATGGCTTGGGAGACTATTCACATGTCATATTGTGTATACTGTTTATTTTATGAAAGAATTTAATTCTAAACATTATATAGTGCAAGACCCAGCCTTTTATGGGTATCTGTCATGTTAAACAACCTCAAGACATGAAAGGTTTTAGCCGCTTATTTGCTCTGCTACAGAGGAAATATGTTGGTTTATTTTCTGACTCATGTTAGGAAAGGCATCCGAGTGAAAGGGAAAGCGAGCCATTCCTAAGTGAGAATGATAAAGTGGGAAAATATGATTTGGACATACTGGTGAGTATCCATCATAGGAAGCTTCCAATTTTAATGATATGGTGGGACACTGAACTTAGACAGGAAGAGAAATGCAAACAATTTGAAATCGTGTTAGTCATCTTTTAAATTCCCTTTGGAATTGAACAGAGATTTTTCTGTTTCTGTATTTTGGGTGAAAGTATTTTTATTTATGTGTGGTTTGTTATGACTGAACTGTATGTTGAGATTAAAGTATAAGTAGTATCATCACATTCAAATACAACCAGTAAGGTTTCAACCTTAAAAGATGTCAAATAAATTTTTTTTAGGTAAGAAGTGTAATTTAAAATGCTAAAATCGTCGTGCTAATAAAATCCACTTGTCTCGTTGTATTTGCAAAACCATATTTCATAGTGAGCTTAATATTCACATCAGCAGGAATGCATCAGGAGAATAAATATGCTTCAGAACACATCTTGTGGGAAAATAAGAGCTAGCAATAAAACAGCTTTTACTACCCAGTACAGTCTGTAAAGTTCTATTTAAAAAATCTTTGAAACGATGTCACTTTTGATGACATATCTTTTATAAATTGCCTAATGACCTTTTTCACAGGAAAAGCCAACATATTTGTCTTGACTTTAAAATCTGTCATTTATCTTATCATTTTTATTTCTTTTATCTCCTTTTATGAGTGGTTTACTGTGTGCTTATTAAACATTTCTCTTGATATGACCATGATTCACCAACAGCAGTGCCAATAAATGAAAGAGAAATATTGTAGATAGTGACATTTTACCTACCAATACCTGTAAAACACAGTATTTTAATTGTTTCTTTATATCTGTTGTACGGATGGTCACCTACAAGTTTCCTCTGAATTTTCTTTGAGACAAAAGTTTGTGACAAGTTTAAGACAGAAAAGTATCTGCTTGATGATAAGGCCGTGCATGAATATAGCATAGTTTGCTCTTCTCAGAATCCAAGCTGACACACACTGGGTTTCTGCTTTTTTGTGGTGCTGTGCTAGTTTCATAAGATCCCAGGGTCAGTAAAGGTCTCATCTTTATAGCTTCCTGGCAGAATGTTGCTTATTCAGTTTTTGTGCATTACGTGAATATGGAAGTTATTCAGAAAATGTCCTGGAAAAGTTTCTAGTATTATTACTATCGTTTCATTTCAGAGGGAATATTTCTGCAATTGTTATAAATTATCCCTGTCTTCCAACAAAACAAAGAGACAAATCACCTCAACTAAATGTTCTTAGGCCATGTGAAAAATATGAGAGGAGAATCACTCAAATCAAATTCACCTTCCTTATCTTCGAAATATTTAAGATATAAGAGAAGGAAGCAAAAGTTAAGCAATCTCAGAACTGTCTTGTTCCTATCCTGCTAAAGTTGAAGGAAAAACCACAGCATTAAGTTGCTTCTACATTAATCTCTTCCATGAAAAATTTGGACCAACTTCCTTTAAAAATCAAGTTTTTCTAGCTCTGCATCTTAGTGTAACTATTAGTATCAGAACCCAATGCAAGTAATTAGCCATTTAAGATCACCTCGATTAAAAAAACAGCTTATAGATATATATTTTATAGACGTATTCACTTCCAGTGGATATTTCATCTCGGACATCCCTGCACCAGTGTTACCCCATTTTTTTTCATTATTGCTGAAAATGACATGGGAAAGAGATGTCATGGAAAAATAATAACATTTGCCCAGTATTTTTGGTTGATCAGAGCTATTGTGGACACTGGGACTATGGACAGAAGCTTTTTCATACTGAAACTTAAATGTGTGCTCTAAGTATGGCACTCTGTGGAATCCTTTGAACCACAACTATTTTTTAGTAACTCGCATATTTTCAAGGCTAGCCCAAGGGCTTGGAGCTCCCCATTTTCAGAGACTCCTCACTGGTAAAGCAGCATTTAAAAGGATTTTTCATGTGTTAATTTTTTCTCTTTTACTTTTTTTGTTTCTGAACGTATTATAGCAAACTTTTTATTTCACCTTCAGTAAAAACAACTGAGTGATAAGAGAGAAACGGAAATTTAATATTTTTTTCTATGCTGTTTTCTTACCCACTGCATTCTTACCTGACATTAGTCACACACACAGTGGACTCCAAACCACTTTTCTCCATTCCACTTTTCTCCATGTAAGCATAGATGTCCCCATGGGCAAAGGCCACCAGCCACCACATGATGGCGAAGAGCAGCCAGCTGCAGAGAAACGACATGGTAAAAATGACCAGCGTGTGGCGCCACTTCAGGTCCACCAAGGTGGTGAAGGTGTCCTGCAGGAATCGTCCCTGCTCGCGGATGTTCTTGTGCGCCAGGTTGCAGGCCCCGCTCTTGGCGATGAAGCGGGCTTTAGGGAGGCGGTCTCGGATGCGCGGCTTGCGCAGGTTCTCCGCCGCGATGCGCGCCAGCACATACTCCTCCGGGATGATGCTCTTTCTGGCCAGCATCGTCTTGCCACCATAGCCAGCCTATCCACCTGACTCTGACCTGCCTCTCCTTCCCTCGACACCAGTCCTCCTGCACGAGGGAAACGATGATTTAAAACTCTCACCCATCAACACTCCATTCCCTCACCTCTTCAGCCCTTGCATTCAGGGGTCTCTCTGTACGCTCGAGGTGACATGCAAAGATAAAGGTATGATTTTATTAATCTACACACTAATCTAGCTTGTGCTTGAGTGCTGGGATACCAGATAAATTGTTTGGTCGTTATCAGAACTGTCTGAATTTTCGTAGTCATTTTGAACACATTGGTTCGTTAGAAAAAACCTGGAGCCCTCCTGCAAACTGCAGGCTCAGTGACAGTTCCCTGAGAACTACCGCGTCTGCAGTTCAGTGCAAAATGACTAGCACGCGGCGTCTATGATGAAAATTAAGGCCAGCTGGGTATCACGTGCATTGACTTAGACAATCTAGCTAGCAATATTAAAATTAAATAGGGGAACTTGTTCCTCCGTTATTTTTAGGAGCAGGCAAAGAAAAGGCTGTGTCCCCTTGCTCAGTATGTTTAGTGTAATCTGACAACATAGTAGGAGCTGTGCTAAGTAACTTGAAAACTATATGAAGTATTTTAAATTTGAAGGAAGTATGAGTTGCATTCTTTTTTAAAAGTAAAATTTTCCCATTAGAACCCCTTATATTGTAAATTGAAAACTTCTTTACAACGAAGGGATCAAACATACAAGCTGCAATTAAAACTCGGACAATAAACAGCCTGCGGGCTACCCATAGAGCGCAGAGTGTGCCCCGAAAAGTCCATCCGATCCTGTAAAGCTCTGCCTGAGTTTTTGCATTTTAAATCCTTTGCGGGGTCGCGAACAGCCTCCCCCTCCCTTCCCGGGAGGAGCGTTGAAACTTACAGACTCCGGGCAGCGGGCGCGGCGGCCGCACCTCCCCGTACACGCCGGCCGACGGCGGGCAGGTCCCTCGCTCTCCCATCCCGGCTCGCGGGAGCAGAGATCGCGAAGGCTGGAGGGACAGATCCCCGGGCCGCGTGTCCTAGGGAGCAGAGTTAAAATAATAAAAGGTGCAATTGAATCTGAAACGCGGGGAGGGCTGGAGGAAGGGGGATGGAGGTAGATCTTCCCCTCCCCCTGCTCAGCTCTGCTCCCCAGGCCCCGGCAGCGGGCGGAGGAGGGGCTGGGGGGCAGAGGAGCCTGGGGGCCACGCTCCACAAATCAGCCTCCCAGTTCCGGCTTTGACGCGCGCCAGACCTGGAAGAGCCGCAGGAGTGGCCCGGGTGGAGGCAGGAGGGGGCGCAGGGAGCCGCCTCCCGGGGAGGTAGGGGGCCGGCCGGAGGGGAGGGGCGCCGAGGGGAGGGCGGGCCCTGCGGAGCCCGCGCTTCGCCGGGAGCTGCGACCCCCGCCGCCAGCCTGACGCCGGCGTCTTTAAAAGGCTCCCTGCTCAGGGGGCAGAACTGGCTGAGTTCAAGTTCACTGACAACGGAGGGCATTTATTTATTTATTGTTTTATAACCTGAGTAGATAACCGGGCTATTTCAGATGGATTAAAACCAGGCGTAGCGATCAGACAATGGTCTTCTGAAGCATTCAAGCCGTGTTCACACATACATATTTTAATCACATTTCCGTCTAGTGGAGATGGTAGCAGGTGGAAGATGTCCCGCAGCGCACTATGGTGAACTATTTCTTCACCAGCCAAAGCTAGTTCTCAGGGAATTACACACACGAACACACACACAATAAGGAGCAAAAAAAAAAAAAAAAAGAAAGAAAGAAAGAAAGAAATAAGTAGAGGGGGGAAAAAATAATAATAACTCGAAGTCTCTTCCAAAGAGAAATTTTAACCCAAACAGGAACCACTGTCAACACTTTTAGAAACTCAAAAGATCATTCTGCGGTAATGGGTTACTTACTGAAATGTTGAAGCTTTTCCATCTTGTCTCGATGGTCTGAGTGATAAAACAGAGCAGTCGCGCACAAGAAAGGTTTTACAGTAAATATCTTTCTATAGCTTTTTGAAAATGAGCCAGCAAAGACAAACGAGCCCTCTCCCACGGGTCAAGCCTTCTGATCTGGCACTTGTGTTAATGGAAAATTTAATTCTTGGAAATTTCATGCGTTTTCCGAGACTCAGGGCAGAATGTGTATGGAGCATAAACAATGTGTTCGTTTAATTACCAGAAGACCTAAAATTAGTCTTTAATGAAGGCAAAGGAAGCAGTTTCTTTCCCCTTGTGGATGGATCTGCTTAACCCCTTCACGCCTGGGGCGCCCGTTCTTTCACTGGTAGCTCCCCTCTCTACTGTCCTTAGTCTTTACAGTAATTTATTTGTAGTTTACAAGTATGTGGGATCAATTTACATAGTTAATTCACTCGTTCTATTTTACAACTGATTTGGTATACAACTTATTCCCTGTTATTTTAGCTTGGGAACATTCAGTGAATACCTGTCTTTTGAAGGTACTTTTTAGGTTTATATACATAAAATCATAGTTGCTATTCTTAAGAGGTGGACCGTGGTCATAAGAAAGATGAGACTTTGATAATAAACTCCGATACAAACAAGGATATGATTATAATGACTGAAGAAACATGACTAAAGTATCATGGGAATTCAAATGAGAGATACTAAGAGGAGGAGACTAAGGAAAGTTTTGTGGATCGTTTGGCATCTGAGCTAGTCTTTGGACCAGATGTATTTGTGGTATGCAAAAAAGCAGAGACAAGACATTCCACAGAGAGAGAACAGCATGAATAAAGTTATGGATACCGACAGGAGAGGGACATGTTTATAGTAACAGGCACTAATCAGCATTGATGAAGCAAAGTCAGTAAGACAGCAGGATTGGACGCTGGAGTCCAGTGTTCCCTGGGTAGCTTCTGTCAACACTTTTCTAAAACACATGGCTTATTCACGTATCGTCCTCCACCCCCCATGAAACTGATGTCTGCTAGAGGGCAGGGCTGTGACTTGTTTATCGTTGTATCATAAACTCTAGCTTCTCACAGCTTACATTACAGAGGTGCTCAAAAAATACTTCTGAATCAATGAATAGAAAAGGTAAAATTGAAAAGCATGTTGGGGCCTTGAAATTAAATGCATCAATGGTCTTAAATGCTTAACAAAGAAGTCTGGACAGTTTTCAGTGGGTAGTGGTAGGCCAGGGGAACATTTTGATTTGAGAGCCATACCATAAGGCTCTCTTTGGGAGGATTGATCGGGAAGCAGAGGCTATGATGGCTTTGAGAATTACATTTCTGAGTAGAGTCCCTTGGGCTCCAAAATGCTGTGATTGGCAGAAGAGGACACTGGCAACTATTACATTAAATAGAGAAGTAATGAGGTCTGGGGCTAATAAGCAACATCAGTGGAAAATACACATATAGATACAAAAGGAATATTACAGAGTCAATATTAGAAGAGGGAAAAGCCACAGGTGACTGTGATATTCATTGCGGTGACAGAGAAATTGTAGAAAAATTGGACTGAGAAGAGATGAACTGAGGAGAATTATGAGATTGGCAATAAATAAATCCATATCCGAATCATATAAAAATTCTATAATTTTCTATGATGCGTATTTAAGAATCATTTTTTGTAATGAGATATATTCTTCTAAATATGCAATTTTAAGTCAAGTTTTGTTTTCAAGTACAAGCTATACCATACTTTCTATTAGTCAGATCTTTAAATTGATGAAGTGAAAATAAGGGGACTAGGAATACACCTGATAAAGGTCAACTTTTAAGAGCTTGATACGTAAATTTTTGACAGTACAATCCCTAAAAATAAGTAGTAGCCATTTAGAAAAAAGCTGAAGAATACATACAGTAAAAAGATTACGAATTCCCTTTTTCTTTTCTCTTTGCATTCCCTTCTTGATTTTCTTTTTAAACCTGCCCTTTATGTTTTTTTCCTTTGATCAGTTTTCTACAGTGGGTGGAAGCTGCATGAAGGCTGTTTGTTGATTGTCATCACCACATACCTAGCGTCTGGAATTGTTCCTAGCTTCCAGAAGTAGGCACTCAATTAAGTGCTTGTCAAATGAAGGAAAGAAGGAATAGTACACACAACACAGTGTTTCTCTCTTTCTTGTGGTTCATTCCCTCCTCTCTCCTCCCTTCGTGTGTCTGTAACCATTTCTTACGACCCCCAGAGGTAATGTGTGAAGTTTGGAGATCTCTGTGAAGCATCTGTGCTGTGGGCCCACTTGTCTGCAAAGACTCCCTGACTGATCCCGTTTCCCTTTTCTTTTTACCCTGTCTTCTCCTACCTTTCTCAGCAACTCTCCTAATCGCTCCGCATCAGCAATACTTAAATTTGTGTTGACCTTGGCTGGCTCTTGTTTCCCTTTATAACTTGTTTTATTATATTTTTAATATTGAGCAACATTCAATAAAACGTATAAATCTTGATTTTGAGCTTAATGGAGGCATCCATCTCCCCTAAAGATCTTACTGGACATATAATAACTGCCTAATAAATATTTGTTATTGAATAATCTCTAGTTCCTCCCCCTTTTAATCTTCCTTTTTTCATATTATGGTCCAAATAGTGAGCATTTAAAAAATTAACATCTGAGAAATTTGTGAAGAAACTCTATTAATTTTTCAAGAACACATTTACACCTTAAGGCTTATTTTATTGGTTGACTTATTTCATCACTATTTTGCTGTTGTCCACTGAAAGTTACGTGTGTTTTCTGAACTGCTCTGTAAGCTTCCTGATTGTTCTTTCAGGAACTAATTTGTGCATTGTTCCTGGAGGAGACCAGTGATACGTTTAGCACAGAGCTCACTTTTTAAATCTTAGGATTTTCTTGACTATTCAGGACTCCTGTTAGAATCTGCTCATGTTTGCCTACCAGAGGAATTGATGCAATTGGGAATCAATTCAAGGATATCTGTTTACTTGTAAGTAAATATCTGTTAGGCTTCTTTTAGATGCTTAGAACATTTTATTTTCAGATAAAAAGTTTCTGTAGTTCTTATTATCCTAAAAACAAAGCTCGTCAGGTGCCTTCAAACAAGTGGAGAAAGCAGTAGGCAGGGGCGTTCCTGAAATGGTCTGCTGCTTTGACGATCAAACACAGAGCAGTGAAGTACTTGAAAGTACCTGTGAGATAAAGCGTGGGGTGCTTGCCTTTGATAACCTTGCCTTTTACTCCACTTGGGGATTTTGAGCTCTTGGATTTCCTGAGCCATATTAGACGTAAGAATATGAGAGTCTTCAGTGTAACAATGGGAACGATTCAGCTTAGGAGCCCAAATAGCAGTTGGTCTATTTGTTTGGTGCGCTCCCTTGTTAGTGTCCTCATATCAACCACTTTGGAACTTACTGCTTGGGAATCAGCTTAATAAAACTGTTACATAAACTAGTAATCAAAACAGCATGTTGTAAACTCACTTTTTCTTGAGTTATCATGAAATGGCAATGACAACATCACTCTGCTTATCTCCTCCAACCAGTTCAGGGAACATTCGTTTTGAGATATATATCTACATTTATACGCTTTAAAAGCCTCACTTTGCTTTAAATTAGGTAACCCTATTTCTTCAAGGATATCCATTCAAGCCATTCATGAAAAAGACCCTCACCCAGCTTTCATGTTCAGCTCTTCAAACTTATGCAAGCTCACAGGTGTGACTCAGCAAGTCAGGAATGGGGGCATCAATAACTACCACTACCTTTAAATGTACAGCGAGGTAAGCAGGAAAAGTCCCTGCTCCAAGGCCTTCTTGGGGAGGAAGCTGTTAGCAAACAAGCAGACAAGCAATGCCCTTATATAATTATCAAGGGCCGTGTCAAGATTTATAAAGAAAATAAAGCATGGTAAGTATTAAAAGGAGCTGGGGCCACAAGAGTGGCAATTTTACATAAAGGTCAGAAAAGGCCTTTTTAAGAAGGTGGAATTTGAACAAAAGATCAACTGGGTAAAGAATGCTTTAGGCAGCTCCAGAACAAGTATAAACGAAATGGGTTGGGTGTGTTTGGAGGGCTATATGAGATCAATACATCAAATGGAAGAGAGAACAAGTCAAAGATGAGCTGGGAAAAGTGTATTTTCTGATCCCTCCATCTCTCCAGGTACCCCGTGAAGAAGATTGAGAATCTGCTTGTACTAAGGCTATGAAAGACATTGACCTACTTCTTGAGACAGCTGTATGTTAGGTTATTTTCTTCATTTCACACACAAGTCAATTGGAGCAGAGCTAAAGGACTTACCTAAAGTCAAATACCTAGTAGGTGGACAGTTAAAACAAACTGAAAACATCTGATCCCAAATCCTGTGTTTTTCTCACTAGACAGTATCTCA